GGGGTGTGGTCCACAGCTGTCTGTTGGTCACTATGGTGGGGGTGTGGGACAGTGGCTCCGTGTTAAGATGCTTCTGAATGGATGGAAACTTTCCCCTCAGAAGCATTTATTTAAGATCAAACTAGACAAGGAAATCAGAGAACTCCAGCACCAGGCTTTTTAGGATTTGGGAAGAAGAAAATGAAGTCTCTCCCACCAGCTATGACTCTCTGAGGTGATCACTGCAGAACAAGGGCACAGAGTCGGAAAAGGGCAGCGTGTGACTCCACTGAGCCTTGACATGGAACCTTTTTTTTATTTTGTGATAAAAATGTTTTCATATAAATTTCATCTTAAACTACTTTTAGAATGAAAAATCTTAAAAGTAAAAACAGTGTGCACTTTCCTTCCTATGTTCAGTAAGGAACATGCAGTCATTTTCTGGTTACTGAGTTTCTCATACAAACAGATATAATTTCACTTTCAGGGACATGTACAAAGGAGGTTGCCATAGTACCAAAACAGTTATGGGTGGGGGCCTCAGGACATAGACGCGTGTCCTTCCAAGCAGTCCTCATACATTCAACACGCTGGTTAAAGTCTGGGTTCTGGAACCACATGCTAACAGACATTACACCTTTGGTTCTTTCCTATGAAAGTCTTACAAGTGTCCACGTTTAACCAAGTGATGTGACTGTGTTGAAGCCTTTCACTGAAATCTTTAACTCAGTCTCTTTCCTTCAATCCCCCCACCATTGCATAAGTCAGAAAACGATGCTTAAAACAAAAAAAGAACAAATTTTAAAAAATCCTCAAAGGCAGGTGGAAGTCAAAGAAAGGAAGAATTCATAGAAATTAAAATAAATCCAAAACAGGGATCTATGCATGGACTAAGGGTGGTGTTCCATACGAATTTAGCCTCTGATTCAGATCCCATGAGAAAGGGATTGCCCATCCCTCTGCCCTCCTAGACGTCACACAGGTCAAGAGTTCTAACATCCACGGGATGGACCGGATGCTTAACTGGCAGTGTTGTCCTCATCTCTGCGGCCTGGGGTCTGTAATGGCAGCTTTCACATCCCTCCTCCTAAACCCAAAGGATCCACTCTGAGAGACCCTGGAAGGAGAAGCAGCAAGTTTGTTCTCCATTGTGTCTGGGGAAGGAGCAGTGGATCGCAGACCCAGTGGCTGGATTAGAGGTGCTCCAAGGCAGTGGCACTAGAGCTGGGGAGGGGGAAGAGGTGCACACACACAGGTTCTCTTAGTCTGGGACTGATGGTCCTTGGGGGAGACAGTCACCACTTAGGGTAATAAAACCCAGTGGGCTGATGATGCTACCACAGGAGAACAGAACTGAGTGACCAAACTTACTTTGCCACAGACCAGGATGGAACACATTGCTTTTGTTGATTGCATGAACTTGGATGGGAGTAAAAATCCCCACCTGTTTATAGACTACCATGGTAACAGATACAGAGTTACTATAAGGGATTACAAACTGACGAATGAGTGGGGGGGCACTTATTTCAACTATTGCAGGAATAAAGACTATTATTAAAACAACAAAAACCCTAAAACAAACAACCCCCCAGGTGATTCACCTACTAATATACACAATGCTCCAGCAGAACTCATGAGCCTTGTGTCATGGGCATCATGGCCCTGGGGGAAGTGATGGTGTGGCCGCAGGGCCAACTAGGAACTGCCTAAGGGGGAAGAGGAGAAAATGACCATCCTAGTTTTACAGATGACAAAAACGCTTCTGCTCTCGAGAGTCCAGGAAGCTGCTGAGACCACAGCACGGGAAGCAGGTTTGGATGAGGTACAATCTTAACCTGAACACAAGCAAGCAAGTCTCAGCCATCGTCAGCTGAAGGGGACTTTAGGGGAGGAAGGGAACACAGCAAAGGGAAGTAGAGGCTGCTTCATCACGTGTGCCCAGGAGGCTGACTGTCCGTTCTCCACTCCCGCAACATGAACACAGATCCCGTGTCTTTATTGAGAACCCACTGTGTGCACCGATAACTCAGACCACATAGCGTGGAGGGAAACTGATAAACCAGCCTCTGACCTGAAAGAAAACTGGTCAGAAGGCAGGCGGCAGTCATCGGGTCCCCTGAGTCTCAGGCAAGTTCGGTCCTAAATTGCAAGGGCATCTATGAGAATCAGTGCAGCAGCCAAGAGTACCTTCATCCGCTGGATCAATGAGTTCTAAGATTTGGGGATAAATGTGCTTCACAGTGGCAGTCAATGGAGGGCCTGGAGGTGGGCAATTGCTTCTTGAATGAGTTAGCTTATCTCTTGGTCATTCCAACATTTCCCCACTTTTCCTGATTTACAACAAAATGGGAATATCATAGTACCCAGGTCTCCTAGAGTACACGTTTACACAGACTAGGCCCACAAACTGAAGAACAACTTATACCCTTCCCCTGGTGAGTGGGTATGGGGCCCACACCCACAAGCGGGGGAGAGAATTAAGGTGCAGGTTCTGAAGGGGTGTCCTATCCTCCGAATATTTCACTTTCTCCTTCCTTCTGGAACAAAACATGCAGACTGCAGCGTGTGCGTTTGCCATAGAAGCATACTTCACAGGCCAAGGCTGAGAGTCATACCCAGAGGAAACCCTGTGAGGCTCCACTGGGGTGCTGGGCATGTGGGAACAAGAGGCTGCCATTGTTTTCCAGGGTAGGAATGATTAAAAGCACAAAAGTCTTGCCTATTACAGGCGGACAGGTGCAGAGAGGGAAGCACCAAGAGAAGTCAAGGTCATTTCCAGGGTTGAGAAGATAAGACAGGCTGACCTGGGCAGAACCCCAGGGACGAGTCCCAATCCAATTCTAGAGCAGAATCTTCTCCCGGATACAGACGCCCCAGGGCTTAAAATGATGTTCAAGCTGCAAGAGTGTCTGGGCTAGAAAAGGCATCCTTTGCATTCTCCAAAAAGAAGAGTGGGCCTCAAGGTTTGTGTTCATCTTGCATCTCCACGAACTCGCCTGCTGGTCAAAGATTAGTAGGAGGGAGTCTTCCCCCTAAAACCACAGAGAAATTCAGTGAAGATGAAAATAATGCTTCTCTCGCTTGTCAGGAAGTGGAGCATCTTCTCTCCTGCCTCCAAAAGCTGTTACAGAGGTTTCTTCATTTCTCTTCGGATAACCTTCATTTGTTCCTCAGCAGCACGAATGATAGGCACTTCTGTCTCCACGCCTGAGGCAGGCTCTTCACGCGTAAACTTGCATGTTGCTGTGCGGTGGCTCAGACATGTGTGTTCCAGGTCCCCGCTGACCTCCTCCACCACTTCCGGGAGTAGGGCTGGTGGTCACATCTGACCAGTCAGAAGCAGAGTGGGGGGAAGAGCTAGACCACTGGTCAGGAGACTCTGGGGATGGTGTCAGGTAGGGATGCTCACCTTGGAGGTGACCTCCGTGACTGGGGGTTCGCTCAGCAGCACTTGAGGAGGCGTAGCTGTGCTGGGAAGGGGGTGTGGGGTACTTCCCCACGGAGGCCTGGAATGGATGGTAGGTTGGGACAATGGTCTGAGCTACCTGTCCCTCCTGCTGGGGCATCATGGTAGGCGGGAAAGCGACATTGGGTAAACGGGCCATCTCTGGGATCTGGTACATAGGGGGCAAGGGGCCTGAGACAGCTGGAGGGCAGGCGGGCTGCGTCTGGGGAGCTCCAGCTGCTTGGGCAATGGTGCCTTTCGGGATGAGCTGGAAAGTCACGATGGGGGGCAAGGGCTCCCGCTGGGTGGAGATGTGCTTCCCCTCTGGTGGTCTGCTCTGGGGAGCTATGCCAGGGTGGGCTCCCTCAGCAGGAGCCAGGACCATGCCAAACATTTCGTTGTACTGGGTCTCATTCATCTCCACACGGTTCATCCAGTCTGCTGGGACAGTAACTGGATGCAACCTGCCCAGGCTTCCTGCACTGCCACTGCCTGGGGGGATGATGTGGTGGTGGGACAACAGCTGGCTGACCGAGGGAAGCACGTTGCTGGCTCCGGGAGCCAGGGGCTGCATCTCATGAAGGTTAGAGAAAGACAGCGCATGTTGTGCATGCACTGGTGCAGCTGGGGCAGCGGCAGCCAGCAGCGGGGTGGGTGAGGCCTGCAAGATTCCAGGGGACGTGATCATGGGAGAGGATGTGGTGTCAGAAACGTATGTGTGGGGAGACTCGAGAGAATCGACAGGGGATAAGGTCACCGAGCTCTCGGACAGCTGGACCTTCTCGCTCAGAGACTTCTTCCTCCTGTTCCCCTTGCCATCCTTGGCCTCCTTGGCGAGGTTGGGCAGGCTCGTGGGCATGGTGCTTTTGGTGTTGGGCCGTCTGGCCTTCTTACCCATCGGGGTGTGCTTCAGACTGAGGAAAGATCTGTTGGGCCCACAAAGGACAGGCGACAGAGCAGATGTCAGCACAGTCCCTGGAGGGCTCGGAGTCACATTATACTCGTCCAGAAGGCGAACAATATCATGGTGCATGCGATCCCGAGCCACATCCCGGGGAAGGCGGTCCATGTGGTCTGTGATGTCCCGATTGGCAAAATGGTCTAACAGGACCTTGGCTG